CTTGACGTCCCTCAGAGTAGACCTGGAAATAAAACTGACTGGAATTAGCAGAGGATGGTTTCGATCCATCGACCTATGGGTTATGGGCCCAGCACGCTTCCGCTGCGCCACTCTGCTTACCACACAGCCCAGATGGGACTTGAACCAACAATCCCTGGTTTAGGAGGCCAGTGCCACATCCATTAGGCCACTGGGGCTGTGATGGATATACACAGAAAAATACAGTCACTGTATGGTCAGATGAACTCCTTCACTGGGTCTGCATCAGTCACATCACATAATAGCCCTGACTTATTGTCTATCACCGAAAATCAGGCCCTGTGATGTACAGTTTTAGAGGTCAGGCAGTTGTGGGAGGATTACGGCTAATTTATATATGATTAAACCATCTGTAAATGATAATCATCTATAGGCTGTTAACAACCTGTCAGGTGACCGACATCAACCAGCCTCAAGTAATATATTATTTACTATTCTAGCATTCTAATATTTAAAAAGCATCTAAAATGTTCCAGTTGGAAACCACAGTTACCTTTTAATGATGAACCATTAGTGATTAGTCCATGGCTATAAATTTACAAAAAAAAAGTATGAAGAGGGTAAATAAAATGAAAAATCTATGAAGGTGGGTGAAAATTCTACCTTATCTGATCTAATGACTGTAGCCCTGTAGCTAGTATCATGTCTGATCAGCTGCTTTCTACTGATAATTTTACAGTAAGATAGAAAAGTGCACATTATTGTCCCTCAGGGTAGACCTGGAAATAAAACTGACTGGAATTAGCAGAGGATGGTTTCGATCCATCGACCTCTGGGTTATGGGCCCAGCACGCTTCCGCTGCGCCACTCTGCTAGTCACACACCCCAGATGGGACTCGAACCCACAATCCCTGGCTTAGGAGGCCAGTGCCTTATCCATTAGGCCACTGGGGCTGTGATGGATAAGCACAGAAAAATACAGTCACTGTATGGTCAGATGAAATCCTTCACTGGGTCTGCATCAGTCACATCACATAATAGCCCTGACTTATTGTCTATCAACTTGTCTATCACCGAAAATCAGGCCCTGTTATGTACAGTTTTAGAGGTCAGGCAGTTGTGGGAGGATTATGGCTAATTTATATATAATTAAAATATCTGTAAATGATAATCATCTATACGCTGTTAACAACCTGTCAGGTGACCGTCATCAACCAGCCTATCAAGTAATATATTATTTACTATTTTAATATTCTAGTATTAAAGTAGAATTTCTAGTAGGCATGTAAAAAGCTCCAGTTGGACCCATAGTGATTAGTTCATGGCTATAAACAAAACAGTGCAAAGTGATTATGTTTTGTTTCACTTCACATTACTACTTTTTACCAGAGAGGGTATATAAAATGAAAAATCTATGAAGGTGGGTGAAAATTCTCCCTTATCTGATCTAATGACTGTAGCCCTGTAGCTAGTATCTTGTCTGATCAGCTGCTTTCAGTTGATAATTTTACAGTAAGATAGAAAAATATGCATTATTCTCCCTTAGGGTAGACCTGGAAAAAATGCAGACTGGAATTAGCAGATGATGGTTTCAATCCATTGACCTCTGGGTTATGGGCCCAGCACGCTTCCGCTGCGCCACTCTGCTTACCACAGCCTAACCCCCCACTCAAACCCGGCTTAGGAGGACAGCACATTATCCATTAGGCCACTTCCAAAATGGACATCAGCTGTTAGCCGTTAAGTTAAACACTGCAAAATTTGACTTTGATTTCACAACTCAGAGCATTTGCTGTTTAAGTGTTATCACTTTTTATGTCTTGTATTTAAAAGCAATGGCATTAGAAATGTAAGAAAAACATGAAATCAACTGTATTATTTCCAATTTTTACTTACCGGCATTTTTGTTAGAAAAACAGCTCTGAGTTGTGAGCCTTAAATATGAGTAACATGCTGTGACTGGGGACGGGGCTTATTTCTTCCCAATAATTTCTATGTGCTTGTCTACATAATACACAGACACCTATCAGTCCCACTCTAGTGACAGATCACTGAAAATCAGGCCTCGTTATGTACAGTTTTAGAGGTCAGGCAGTGGTGGGAGGATTACTAGCTAGCTTATAAATGATAAAATCATCTATAAATGATAACCATCTATAGACTGTTAACAACCTGTTAGGTGAACTTCATCAATGACCATATTAAGTCATCTATTATTTATTATTCTAGGATTCTAGTATTAAACTAGAATTTCTAGTATACATCTAAAAAGGTCCAGTTGGAGACTACAGTTACCTTTTAGTTCTGAACCATTAGTGATTAGTCCATGGCTATAAAATAAGGCAGTTCAAAAATTCTCCCTTGTCTGATCTAATGGCTGTAGCTCTGTAGCTAGTCTCTTGTCTGATGAGCTGCCTTTATCTAACAAATTCACATTGAGATAAATAGATACACTTTATTGTCCTTGAAGGGAAAGTTGGGAATGAAAGAGACAGGAGTTAGCAGAGGATGGTTTCAATCCATCAAGTGCTTCTGAACTCTGCTAACTGCTCATACAACTCAAACCCCCAATAACTAGCTCAGGCGGCCAGTACCTTAGCCATTAGTCCACTGATGGGACAATGGGGGTGATTGCTTACTTAATGTGAGTGTGAAGGATCTGTAACTGCCATTCGTGACAGAGTTGTGTAGCTGCCAGAGTGCATGGCCATTGCAATGACGGTGTCAGTGTATCTGTTAGAGGGGTAAGCAAACTGGAATGGGTCCAAGGTGTCCGGTAGAGAGGATCAGATGTAGGATTTGACGAGACGCTCAAAGCACTTCATGAACACTGATGTAAGTGCTACAGGGCAGTAGTCATTCAGGCAGGAGACAGCAGTTTTCAGGGACAGGGATGATGGTGGTCTGATTGAATCATATGGGGATCACAGTCAGACTCAAAGAGAGATTAAAGATGTTAGTGAAAACATCTGCTAACTGGTCACTGCAGGCCCTCAGGACATGTCCGTGGAGGCCATCAGGTCCTGGTACCTTCCTAGTGTTGACTCTCTTTAAGGCCCTGCTCAGTTCAGGTGTAGTTAGAGCAAGAGGGCAGGTGTCATGGTCAGCAGGTATTTTCACAGCAAAGAATGTTGTCTGCCTCAAAGAATGTGCATAGAATGTGTTGAGCTCATCTAGTAAGGAGGCAGACTTAGGCACATGGCTACTCTTCCTGCCTTTGTAGTCGTTATAGTGCACAGACCACTCCACTTGCGTTTGGGGTCAGATCAGCAATAGTCTGACTACACTCTGTTGGTGGTGTGCAATTCTAATCCATTAATGGTTGTATAGTTCGTCCAGTGCTTTCGTTTTGTACACATGAAACGGAATGTAGACTACTGTAAGGATGACTGAACAAGATGTGGTAGGAGGTTTATGGCTAGCTTATAAATGATAAAAACATCTCTAAATGATTATCATCTATAGACTGTTAACAACATGTCAGGTGACCATCATCAACCAGCCTATCAAGTAATGTATGATTTACTATTCTAGTATTCTAGTATTGAAAAGGCATCTAAAAAGTTCCAGTTGGAGACAACAGTTAGCTTTCAATGCTGAGCCATTATTAATTAGTTCATGGCTATAAATAAGACAGTTTGAAGTGGTTATGTTTTGTTTCACATTACAACTTTTTAGCAAAGAGGGCAAATAAAATGAAAACTTTATGTAAGTGTGTGAAAATTCTACCTTATCCGATCTAATGGCTATAGGTCTGTAGCTAGTCTCTTGTCCAATGAACTGCCTTCAGTTAATGAATTTACAGTAAGATAGATAGATAGCACACTTCTGCTGTGCCACTCTGCTAATGCTGAACCTTTAGTGATTAGTGGACTCATTATATCACGATTCCTACCTCGGTTCACGTGGACTCATTAATGCATTTATGACATGTTGTGAAAGGCAGTTAAACATCAGGTGACATGTTGAGAATAAGCTGATAGGCTGCTGCATGACAATAAATACATGGCATGTTGAGTGTCTAAAGCAGTCTACCGGAGAAAGTATTACTGAATATCCTGAACCAAGACTCAGTGTTTAACAGGATGAAAAAGGAGATCAGTGGCTCCAAAGTTTCTGGCTTCGATTTCTAAATTTCTTAATTTCAATCATAAATTGCTGACAAAACATTTTACCTCCACTTAAAGATGTGGTCTGCATTAAGCTGCTAGTAAAAACCAGTACTCTAGATTCTACAGTGAAAAATACAGCTTTGTACTGAATATATACATTTCAGAGCACTTGTTTAAGTATTATCTCTTTTTTTGTGTCTTGTCTTTAAAAGCAATGTCATTAAAAATGTAACAAAGCCATGAAATCAACTCAATTATTTCCTTTTTGCTTACCATGCAGCATTTTAAATAAATAAATAAATAAATAAATAAATAAATAAATAAATATATATATATATATATATATATATATATATATATATATATATATATATATATATATATATATATATATATATATATATATATAATCTCTATGTGCTTGTCTACATAATACACAGACACCCATCAATCCCACACTAGTGACAGGTCACTGAAAATCAGACCTCGTTATGTACAGTTTTAGAGGTCAGGCAGTGGTGGGAGGATTACTAGCTAGCTTATGAATGATAAAATCATCTATAAATGATAACCATCTATAACAACCCGTCAGGTGACCTTCATCAATCTGCCTATCAATAATGTTTTATTTACTACTAGGATTCTAGTATTAAACTAGAATTTCTAGTAGGCATGTAAAAAGTTCCAGCTGGAGACTACAGTTACCTTTTAATGTAGAACCATTAGTGATTAGTCCATAGCTATAAATAAGACACTTCGAAAATTCTCTCTTGTCTGATCTAATGGCTGAAACTCAGTAGCCAGTCTCTTGTCTGATGAGCTTGTCTTCAGCTAATAAATTCACAGTAAGATAGATACATGTACTTTATTGTCCCTGAGGGGAGATTTGGGAATAAAACTGAGAGAAAATAGCAGAGGACAGGGTTGATCCATCAACTGCTGGGTTATGGGCCCAGCACACTTCCGCTGCACCACTCCGCTGTCCCCATACATAGCCAAAACTCAAACCCAAAATCGCTGGCTTAGGAAGCCAGTGCTATAGCCATAGCCATAGCTATTAGGCCACTGGTCCTCTGAAGTGCAGGACTGGAAAACTACAGTCACGGAAAAATGGCATTAGAAGAAGACAGGACTTGAGTCCACAACTCTTGGTTTAGGAGGCCAGCGTCTTATCTGGGAGGCCACTGGGGCTCTGTGGTGTGTTAATGGAAACATACAGTCACTGAATGATGGCTAGGTATTTTTTTTTTATACATTCATCATCTTGGCTACAGTGTTTTATTTTATAAGTAGTCGATTTGGTCAGCTGAAATACTTTGCTAGGTCTGCATCAGCCGGATATATAATATATAATAAGTCCTGAATTATTGTCTATCAACTTGTCCTTTTTTTCCCTTTAATTTCTTTGGGATGGTCCAGTTTATAGCCTCAGACCAGCCGTCTAAAACAGACTACCAGATCAAGTATTATTTACTATCCTGAACCAAGACTCAGTGTTTAACAGGATGAAACAGGAGATCAGTGGCTCCAAAAGGACTTAAACACTGCAAAGTCTGCCAGTAAAACCCTGTACTCTCGATTTTACACTGAAAAATACAGCTTTGTACTGAATTTATACAATTGAGAGCATCTCATGTGTAAGAGCCATATCACGAAAAATGTAGCAAAACCATCCAATCAACACTGTTATTTCCTCTTCTTAATGACCAGCATTTTTTGTTACAAAAACAGCTCTGAGTTGAGTCTTAAATATTAGTAACATACTGTGACGTCGACTGGTACTGGTATTGGGGGCGGGGCTTATTTCATCCCCATAATCTGTCTGTGCATGTCTATGTGATACACAGACACCCATTAATCCCACACTAGTGACAGATCACTGAAAATCAGGCCTCGTTATGTACAGTTGTAGAGGTCAGGCAGTGGTGGGAATTTTACGGCTAGCTTATAAATGATAAACCAGTGAAAACAGTGAATATTGTTTCTACCACTGTAGTGAAAACAACAACGGCTACTGATTTATTTACTATATAACTTGTTGCAAAGCTGCTGACATGCAGCCATAGTTTCTGAACTCCTTTAGGGTGTGTTTTATTAGATTTTTGTTTCAATTTCATATTTGTTATATAGATATACTGTTTTTCTGAATGCAGCATGCAGAACTCAGAAACTGTGCACTTCGGCACTGAGTGTCGAGTAAAACAGTACTTGGTCCTCTCCTGTTCTCCCTTTATACCCGATCTCTTGGTGCTGTCATATCCTCACATGGGTTTGCATACCACTGCTATGCAGATGACACTCAACTTATCTTCTCCTTCCCTCCCTCAGACACTAATGTTTCGGCTCGGATATCAGCATGTCTGGCAGACATCTCATCATGGATGACGGCTCATCAGCTGAAACTTAATCCCAGCAAAACTGAACTGCTGTTCATCCCAGGTGATTCATCCCCATCTCAGGATCTTGCAATCTCCCTGGACAATTCTCTAATCTCGCCTTCAGTTACTGCACGCAACCTTGGGGTAACCATGGACAATCAGCTGTCCTTCTCCTCTCACATTTCTAATCTAACACGCTCATGTCACTTTCTCCTCTATAACATCAGAAGAATTCGTCCATTTCTTTCCACACAGGCTACACAGATCCTTGTTCAGTCCCTTGTCATTCAAGACTAGACTACTGCAACTCACTCCTGGCAGGTCTGCCTCTGAGCACCATTCGTCCTCTGCAACTGATTCAAAATGCAGCTGCACGATTGGTTTTCAATCTTCCTAAATTTTCCCACACCACCCCATTGCTGCGCTCCCTCCACTGGCTTCCTGTAGCTGCCCGCATCAAATTTAAAACACTGATGCTTGCCTACAAAGCCAAAAACGGACCAGCACCCACTTATCTCAAAGCACTTATCACACCTCGCGTGGCACCACGCTGCCTCCGGTCCTGTAGCACTGCTCGACTGGTCCCACCATCTCTCAGGGCACAAGGAAGACACGCGTCGAGACTCTTCTCTGTTCTGGCACCAAGGTGGTTGAATGAACTTCCCTTAGATGTCCGAACAGCTGAGTCACTGGCAGTCTTCAAACGACGTCTAAAGACTTACCTCTTCATAAAGTACTTAAGTTAGCACTTACACGCGCACACACACACACGCACACAAAAAAAAAAAAAAAAAAAAAAAAAAAAAAAAAAAAAAAAAAAAAAAAAAAAAAAAAAAAAAAAAAAAAAAAAAAAAAAAAAAAAAAAAAAAAAAAAAAAAAAAAAAAAAAACACAGTTTTTGGACTGATGGTATTAATGCCAAATGCCATAAATGTAAATGTAAATGTAAAACTATTTCAAACACGGTTAATATCAATCGGAGTCCAGCACCAAACAACAGAATGATTCCTACTAGAAATACAGACTGTATTTATTTTGCAGGTCATTTCACACCACCTTAGAACAGTAAATCAGTAGCTCCTAAAGTCATAGTCATGTCCTCTATAGTACTATATTTTTCTTATATATTGCTTAATAATTTAAGAATGATTTGTCATAGAAACTTTAAATTATATCTTGCCTCAAATATCTGTATCTAAACACACACGACTGCAAATGCATTCATAGCTTCACTGTTTAGTAGTATTTTTTTTTATTGTTTGGATTGTAAAGATTTTGTATTTTTATTTATCTGCTGATCAATTTTTAAGGTAGAATTTTTTATTTATTTATTTATTTTTTACAATAAACAGTATGCCCACAGCTTTCAAACTAAACCTTTTGCTCAGTCATAAACTTTGTTAGGTAGTCACTACACCAATAATAATCTGGTTATTCAGGAACAGGTTTCAGGACATCATCAATGCTTCTATGTTAAAAAAAAGGCACAAATAGGCATAATATATAAAGGGTTAAAAGAATTCATTCGCCTCAACTGGAGGCACATCAGAAGCCTTGAATTCCCACTGCTGGAGCCAAGATGTAATTTGTCCCCTTGTTCCTGCTTAGTTGTGAGCTGGTGGAGTAGCCTAGTGGGATAAGTGTCATAATCTTTTAGCAGTGTATGCTTCAGTACGTAGCCACCCATGCATACTGGGACAGAAACGACAGTAAAGCTAGCCAAGAGGGAATACAATTCCACCCAGACAGAAATTCCTGTCCCAAATGGATTATTTCAGCTTCGCTGGTCACATATTTGCTAGTTTCCCAGCGATTCATCTTACTATTAATAATGTCAGGGAATTTTTAGGCTTTCCGAATAAGATAATGATAAATCGGAGCGCAGGCCAAGCCAGCACTGCTTATATCAGGCCGAAAAGTTCTGTCAGGCCTGATAAATCGGATTCCTGAAATAGTTTGTAAAGTGCCGAATTGATGTGGTGGGGTCGGCAAAGGGGGCGAATTAATGTCATGAAATGGGCTTTGCTACCTGGGCTCTGATGAAAGCCGGGGAAAAGTCTTTCATATAAATCGTCTGTGTGGGGAGATGGCGTAAATGGGAAGAGGGGGAGACACAGGGAGAGATAATGGTCAGTGAGGTGTGGGTCAGCCTGAGAGAGAGAGAGAGAGAGCGAGAGAGAGAGAGAGACTTCAGTTGCAGCCATGCGCTGATCATTCATAATAGCAGTGCTGAGGCCAGCCTGTAAGGAAGAAAAATGAAAACTATTAAAGGGCCCTGTGTGCAGTGTTGGCTTTGGTGTGTCAGCAATTATTATCCAGGAACACTGCTCAGATCCTGAGACAGAAAAAGGTGACAGAAAACTGAGAAAGGGTGGCTAAATAGACAGAAATCAATATATATATATATATATATATATATATATATATATATATATATTTATATATATATATATATAGAGAGAGAGAGAGAGAGAGAGAGAGAGAGAGAGCACTGTAGGCAAATGTGTAGTTTAGCATGACTATATCATGAAACAGTATTATACACTGTTAGCAATAAAATATCTGGTTACAATGTAAATATTCTACAAACAGTCAACAAACCATCTATAGACTGTTAACAACATGTCCTGTGAACGTCAATAACCAGCCTACCAAGTAATGCATTATTTGCTGTTCTAATATTGTAGTATTAAAAGGCATGTAAAACGCTCCAGCTGAGACCACAGCCACCTTTTAATGGTGAACCCTTGGCTATAAATAAAACAGTTCCAAGTGGTAGTATTCTGGTTCCCCTCACATTACTACCTTTTACCAGAGAAGGTAAATAAAATGAAAAAATCTATGAAAGTGAGTGAAAATTCTCGCTTGTCTGATCTAATGGCTGTAGCTCTGTAGCTAGTCTCTTGGCCACTCATTAGGCCACTGGGGCTCAGATGTATTTTACACTGAAAAATACAGCTTTGTACTGAATATATACAATTCAGAGCACTTGTTGCTTAAGTATTATCTCTTTTTACATCTTGTGTTAAAGAGCATCATGAAAAATGTCACAAAACCATGAAATCAACTCTTTTATTTCCTATTCTTACTTACCAGCATTTTTATTACAAAATCAGCTGAGTTGTGAGTCGTAAATATTTTTACTAAATTTTTACTATATTTTTTATATTTTAAATATTTTTACTAAATTTTTACTATATTTTAGTAAAAGCTTTTACTGGGGGTAGGGATTATTTCATTTCAATGATCTCTATGGGCTAGACAGGCACCCATCAAGAATCTGTGTGTGTGAAGATTCTTCCTCATCTGAGCTAACAAGTCAGGGAGTAAACCAGATTTAGCAGAGGATGGTCTCAAACCATCAACTTCTGGGTCATGGGCCTAGCACACTTCTGCTGCACCACTCTGCTACTTGCTCACCTAGGATGGGACTTGAACCCACACTCCCTGGCTTAGGAGGCCAGTGCCTTATCCATTAGGCCGAAGGGCCACAGGTTTCTAAGTAAAATAAGGGTCTGCATCACTCAGATAAAAATCCCTGACTTATTGTCTATCAACTTGTCTCATTTCTTTTATTTTATTTTTTGGGATGGTCCAGTTTCAGATCATCTATAGACTATTAACTCATTTTTGTTCCTATCACGATTCCTAACTCGGTTCACATGGACTCATTAATGCATTTATGACATGTTGTTGAAAGGCAGTTAAACATCAGGTGACATGTTGAGAATAAGCTGATAGGCTGCTGCATGACAATAAATACATGGCATGTTGAGTGTCTAAAGCAGTCTACCAGAGAAAGTATTACTGAATATCCTGAACCAAGACTCAGTGTTTAACAGGATGAAAAAGGAGATCAGTGGCTCCAAAAGGGCTTCCAAATGCCCCTTCACTCCTCCTCCATCTCAGTCTGAAATCGGTAAGTGCTGAGCACAGCCAGATAATACTCATGTGTACAAAAAAATCACTCTGTGCTTCAAAAAAAAAGGTATAGGACTGGAAAACTACAGTCACTGAATAATGGCTATTTTTCCCCCACACATTTATCATCTCTATATTGTAAAACAAGACAGCCCTATCAAGTTATGTGAACTTATTTCTTCTCTTTAACTCCAATTGTCTTGACAAGTTTTGGATATTGAACTCAAGTTTATAAGTTTTCAAAAATGAAACTTAAAGTAATCCATTTGACTTTGAGTTGAAACAAAGGTTATCTTCATCTTCAAGTTTACTCACATTTTTAAGGCAGCAGCCAAACTTCTGTTTCTAAGTTTAACTGACTCGAAATGTCTTAGTGTGTACTATAATGCTTTCTATTTGGCAGGCAACTTGCATTTCATTTTTTTTTATATAAATGAGCAGTTGATGGTTAAGGACCTTGCTCAAGGACCCAGCAGGTGCAGCTTAGTAGTGCTGCGGATTGAGCTCCTGACCTACGAAGCAGTAATTCAACAGACTAACCACTGAGCTACCACTGCCTCCTCAGTTCAAAAGAGCTTAGTTTGGTCAGTTGAAATAACTTTCTGGGCCTTAAATATGTGGTCTTTTATTTGGTAGCATTTACACTGCCAGGAAAAACCAGTACTCTCGATTTTACACAGAAAAAATACATCTTTATACTGAATATATACAATTCAGTATATACAATGTGTTAAAGAGCAAAATCATGAAAAATGTCACAAAACCATGAAATCAACTCTTTCATTTCCTATTCTTACTTACCAGCATTTTTACTACAAAAACAGCTGAGTTGTGAGTCGTAAATATGAGTAAAATAGTGTAACCTCGACTGGAACTTTTACTGGGGGTGGGGATTATTTCATTTCCATAATCTCTATGTGCTTGTCTGTGTGATGCACAGGCACCCATCAAGAATCTATGAAAGTGTGTGAAAACTCACCCTTGTCTGAATCACTGCAGTCAGCCTCCAGCCTGATGAGTCAGCAGAAACCAACTGCAATTAGTAGAGGATTGTTTTGATCCATTGATCTCTGGGTTATGGGCCCAGCACGCTTCCGCTGCACCACTCTGCTATCGACCCGCAGCAGCTGGGACTCGAACCCACAAACCCTGGCTTAGGAGGCCCATACATGCCCATATATTTATTATGTCTACATTGTAAAACATAATAGCCCCATTTAGGCCCAATCCCATTTCTATCCCTTAGCCCTTCCCCTTTCCCCTGTGTCTTGATTCTCTTTTGGTTGGAGGGATAGGGGTAAGGGGAAGGGCCAGATAGCCCTTTAAACGAAGATTTTTCGGGACCACACTTCAAACGAAGGGGTATGAATTATCTCACCGTAAACCGGCTACATCGGCAACGTGGCTGCCCGAGCGAACAAAAAGACCCACAAATGTAAGCATTATTGACGTTAATAAAGATTTTAATGAACATAAATCATTTGTTTTATGTTATATTCAATCGTGTGTTCATATTTACAGTGATGTTATTCAAAGAAATGTTTGCAAAAAAATCGCTAAAGTGTGCTAACGTCATATCATTACAGATTGCACGATAGTGCCACAACATATTTTCATGTCTGATCAGGGCTGTAACCACCAAAGACATTGAGGGGGGCTAGTCCTCCCAATAATTAGAAATCCCTAAACTTTTTTCTCAAATATTGCCCATTCGAGAGAGAGTATTAGGACCTAGATGACGAATGATGATGTGTAACGGTATAGTAGTGGTTTCCCAATTCTTAGGGGAATATTTTCACCCCTACCCCTTGACATTCTGTTTCAAGGGACAAGAGGAAGGGGTAGGCATAGGGGTAGGTGAAGGGGTATAAAATAGAATTGGGATCGGGCCTAAGTTAGGTGAACTTATTTCTTCTCTTTAATTCCAACTGTCATGACAAGTTTTGGATATTGAGCTAAAGTTCATAAGTTTTGAAAAATGGAGCTTAAAGTAATCCATTGTCTTGACTTTGAGTCATGGTCTTGACTTAACTTTGAGTTGAAACAAAGGTGATCTTCAAGTTGAGTTTATTCATGTTTTTAAGGCTGCAGCTGAACTTTTGTTTCTAAGTTCAATCCCACACTAGTGACAGATCACTGAAAATCAGGCCTCATTATGTACAGTTTTAGAGGTCAGGCAGTGGTGGGAGGATTACTAGCTAGCTTATAAATGATAAAATCATCTATAAATGATAACCATCTATAGACTGTTAACAACCTGTCTGGTGACTGTCAATAACCAGCCTATCAGAGTAATGTATTATTTGCTACTCTAGTATTAAACTAGAATTTCTAGTAGGCATCTAAAAAGTTCTAGTCGGAGACGACAGTTACCTTTTGGTGGTGAACCATTACTGATTAGTTCATGGCTATAAATAAAACAGTTCAAAGTGGTTATATTTTGTTTCACTTTACTTTGCTACTTTTTACCAGAGAAAGTAAATGAAATGAAAAATCTATGAAAGTGTGTGAAGATTCTCCCTTATCTGATCTAATGGCTGCAGCTGTGTAGTTGGTCTCTGGTCTGATGAGTCGAAAAGTAAACCAGAATTAGCAGAGGATGGTTTCGATCCATCGACCTCTGGGTTATGGGCCCAGCACGCTTCCGCTGCGCCACTCTGCTATTCACACACCCCAGATGGGACTTGAACCCACAATCCCTGGCTTAGGAGGCCAGTGCCTTATCCATTAGGCCACTGGGGCACAGATGCAGAAGACTGGAAAACTGAAAAATGGCTAATAATTTTTCCCCCATACATTTATCATCTCTGCTGCAGTATTTTATTTTATAAGTAAAATAAGGGTCTGCATCAGCCAGATAAAAATCCCTGAATTATTGTCTATCAACTTGTCTCTTTTCTTTTAATTTATTTTTAGGATGGTCCAGTTTATAGCCTCAGATCAGCTATAGATAGATAGATAGATAGATAGACTTTATTGATCCCACGAGGGAAATTCTTGTGTTACAGCAGCATGGTCAGTAGCAAGATACAGCATGTACACAAAAAATATAAAATATAAAATACAATAAGTTAAATTAAATGTAGTAGGGCAGATATGGAACACAGTTGTAGATTTAACCAGATTTACATCAGTATTTACATAAGTACACTTGTGAAAACTGGCAGTGAATAATGACAGCTTTCTAAATGATAGCTTTCTTGAAGTAGTGTAATGTGAAAGTGTTATAATCTGTCACACACAGGTGAGCTGTTGTGAAATGTTATTGAGAATGGTAAGAATGAACTCCTGTAACGTTCTCTGTGACAACGAATTTGAGTCTTTTGGAGAATGAACTCCGCTAACTCTGTAGTGTGTTGTAGAGTGGGTGAGACGGATTGTCCATGATGGAGAGCAGTTTGTTCAGTGACCTCCTGCTCCTCACTGACTCAAACATCTCCAGTTTGTGTCCAATGATAGATCCAGCCTTGCGAATAAGCTTGTTAAGCCTGCTGATATCCCTGGCACTGATGCTGCCTCCCCAGCAGACCACAGCACAGTAAATGGCACTTGCCACCACAGACTGGTAGAAGATCTCCAGCATCTTGTTGCATACATTGAAAGATCTGAACTTCCTCAGAAAGTAGAGTCTGCTCATTCCTTTCTTGTACACAGCATCAGTGTTGGTCCTCCAGTCCAGTCTGTCATTTAAGTGTACACCCAAATACTTGTAGTTATTAACAATACCAACTTCCTCACCCATGATGATTATGGGCTTAATCAAAGTTTTAGTCCTCCTAAAGTTCACCACAATCTCCTTGGTCTTTGTCACATTTAGGAGCAGGTCATTCTTAGTGCACCAGTCCACAAAGCTATCCAGTAGTCCCCTGTACTCCGACTCCTGTCCATCCCTAATACACCCCACCACTGCAGAGTCGTCAGAAAACCTCTGCAGGTGGCATGATTCAGAGTTGTACTGAAAGTCTGAGGTGTACAAAGTGAACAAAAATGGAGACAGGACCGTCCCCAGTGCAGGTTTCACCTGTGGCACCAGATGCCCTAAAACTAGTCTCTCCAACACTTTTATGACATCAGGGCAACCGGTCTGAAGTCATTGAGGCCAGATGGGGTGGTTTTCTTAGGTATCAGTACTAGACAAGATGTTTTCCATAGCACCAGTACTCTTTCCTGCATCAGACTTAGATTGCAGATATGCTTCAGGATACCAGACAGCTGAGTAGCACAGTACTTAAGAACCCTAGGACTAATACCATCAGGGCCTGCAGCCTTGCCTTGATCAAGTCTCTCCAGCTGTCTTCTCACCTGGTTGGTCGTCACAGTCAAGTGAGAGGATATGGTCGGTTCAGTTGAGGAAGGCAGTGGGGGGTTGTGGTCAGGGATACTTAGCAGGGTGTGGTGTTGCTGAAGATGTGTATTTGGTGTCTGCAAGGGTGTCAGGACTGTTCCTGTGTGGGATGGCCCAGCAAGGGGTCCTGTGCTGAACCTGTTA